TTTTTCCTTTTTTTAAGTTTCAAAAGCCCTGACCGTATTTGTAGCACACGGCTGCACGGGCAACCCCACCCGTTGTCCATAGAAAAAATTTTTGGCTAATCGTGTAAGACACGAGCCGAGCTGAGCTGAGTTTAAGTAATATACGTAAACACAGACAGCACGAGACGTGGTTAGGGGCGGGAATCATCAGTACAGCCCCTAACCACGATGTATGAATGAACATAGCATGGGCGTGTGATGAGATAGGATAAAAAACATGCAAAAACGAGGAAAAAAGGAATAGAAAAATCTGGACTAACATGGAACAGGAAACTGTCTGCCTTGCTCCGCTTGGATGCGGGTTCTCTTTGCGTAGTCATGCTAAAAAGCAATATCTCTGTCGAGGAATAGCACGATGTTATGCCGAACTAACGCCAAATAGTACCGACGCGCAAAACACCCTAATCCCGTGATCATCACAGTATAGGTATTTAGCAAGGTTAGCGGTGTGCCTGTTAACAAATTTGCGGACGCACTGCGTCAATTTGTATGCGTCGTAGCCCCTCTCCAAGTACCCAAAAACTAGTCGTCTGGCCCACCAAACGAATCGATCTGAAGAAGAGCAGATTCGTGAGTATCGCAGCATTTGAAAAATGAGAATTCCCCCACGTAAAGTTAGTACTTTACATTGAGGAATTCTCATTTCTCAAAAAAGTACTTTATATGAGGGAATTCCCTCATGTAAAGTACTAACCCCGTTCGTCTAGTTAAGCAGCACATTTCGATTTCCTCCGCAGTTAAGCAGGCCTACCCGTGCTTTACGACCAGCGAAATACAGTAAACAAACAACAGCAAAAATATCGTCCGACTCTCGAAGTATTAATATCAATAAATAGCGATGCGCACCAGAGCAGGCGGTGCGATCATGCGTTTTGCGCGGTTCCGTCCAGCGAACGTTTGCCTGCTAAGGATTTTTCTTTGCTTTGCGCTTTGATCTGTGCAAAAATAGTTGAAATGCTGTTCAGTTCCAAACTGCGGAATTTCCA